GGATTACTGTGCTGGCTTTATGATCTGCAGCTCCTGAACCCATCCATTTGTGAACTGCACATGAGACTCCAAGGACTTGTAGCTTCTGAACTGTTTGGAAGTATAGGCGCTCACTCATCGGTGCTCCACTCATTGTTTGGAACTTCATATGGATCCAAATTATTAATAATGCTGATTTTGTCAACATACCGGTCCCTGGCTTCTCTACTTAATGTGTCCCGGTAAATTCCAGATCCTTTTTGGGATTTTTTTGGGGACTTTAGAGAAGCCAATTGACCTAACAGCCATGTTTTTGGACAGTGGGAGGAACCCGGAGTACCCGGAGAGAACCCACACATGCTCAGGGAGAACATGCAAACTCCATGCAGAAAGACCCTGGGCCTGGAATCAAACCCAGAACCTTCTTGCTGCAAGGCAGCAGTGCTACCCACTGTGCCACTGAGCAGCCCGTTTGTTTTATCCATTAGTAACACATTTTTTTAGTGGAATTTTCCCAATTTCAACAAAAATCATAATTTCTTCACCAGTCCGGTCTTAAGACCTTTGCACCAGTGCTTTTTAGCCTCATTTTAGGATCCTAGTTAAACTATATGTGCACTTTTATAGAAACCCAAGATTTATTTGCTCACGCTAGACATCAAAATAAGTTTTCACACCCAATGGTTTCTATAGCCCCTTGTACATCCAAACTTTTTCAGTTTTCCATTCCCCATAACTGAATCAACCCAAGCAGGTCTTTATAGCATCCCCGGAGTTTTTACCCCGTCAGTCCATATGTCCCCTGCTAACCCCTGTTAGTTCACCTTTATTCGTTAAAATGTCACTGTTAAAAAATTTATCCATCCTTTTCACTTATCCATTTATCCCCTTAGATTACTCCTTCCGGTCCCTCTTAATTCACTCAAAAAGGTATATGTAAACATATACACTGGCCAGTCGACAAACAACAACACAGATCAGACAAACACATTGCGCAACCGTGATAACCGGGATTATAAATGATGAATGCCTCCATGTCCTTCCATTTAAGTTTTTCTTCTTCTAATCCAATTCCCTTTTTAACTATTGAATACAGCAGTCGTCAACCTGTTTACCTTTTTCCTCCAGTTGCCTCTTTAATTCCTGAATTTCTTGAAGCAATGAGGTTCTCACCTTCTCAAAGTCATCCTGTATATGTGCAGTTTGTTTAAGCTTTTCATTTTTTTGATTGCATTTCCTCTTCAATTCCTGATTTTTTTCTATCAACAAGGATTTCACCTGCTCGTCTTCAGCCTGTTTATGTAAAAGGTGTTTAAGCTTTTTATTTTTTTGATCTTGTTCCCTCTTTAATTCCTGTATTTGTTGTGTTAATGAGGTTTTTACCTTCTCATCGTCTACCTGTTTATCTGTAAGCTGTTGAGGTTTTTCATCTTTTTGATCTTGTTCCCTCTTTAATTCCTGTATTTGTTGTGTTAATGAGGTTTTTACCTTCTCATCGTCTACCTGTTTATCTGTAAGCTGTTGAGGTTTTTCATCTTTTTGATCTTGTTCCCTCTTTAATTCCTGTATTTGTTGTTTTAATGAGGTTTTCACCTCATCGTCTACCTGTTTATCTGTAAGTTGTTGAGGTTTTTCATCTTTTTGATCTTGTTCCCTCTTTAATTCCTGTATTTGTTGTGTTAATGAGGTTTTCACCTTCTCATCGTCAACCTGTTTATCTCTAAGCTGTTGAATATTTTCATCTTTTTGCAACATTTGCCTCTTTAATTCCTGAATTTGTTGTTTTAATGAGGTTTTTACCTTCTCATCGTCTACCTGTTTATCTGTAAGCTGTTGAGGTTTTTCATCTTTTTGCTGGAGTTGCCTCTTTAATTCCCGAATTTGTTGTTTTAATGAGGTTTTCACCTCATCGTCTACATGTTCATCTGTAAGCTGTTTAATATTTTCATCTTTTTGCTCGAGTTGCCTCTTTAATTCCTGAATTTGTTGTTTAAATGAGGTTTTCTCATTTTCATCTTCAATCTGTTTCCTCTTTAATTGCTCAATTTCTTGTAGCACTGAGGTGTTCACCTTCTCAAAGTTACCCTGTATATCTGCAGAGTGTTTAAGCTTGTTATTCTTTTCATTGACTACGTAGGTTAATTCCTGAATTTCCTGTATCAACGAGTCTATAACTCTCTCATTTTCAACCTGTTTTGTATATTTTTGCTCGAGTTCCCTTTTTAACTTGTCAATTTTTTGTATGTTATTGGTGTTCAGCTTCTGGTAATCTTTAAGTTTTTGGCTATTTTGAATTAGTATCTGACATGCTGCTCGGAGAAGACTAATCCGTGCCATGAGACAATCTTTTTCCTTAGAGAGCCTGTCAACTTCAAGTTGGAGATTCCTTTTATTTTGTTTCCTGTTTCGCTCAAATGTAGTGCGAAGCATTGCTATAAAATTTTGAGATTCCTGGTTGTCTTTGTTCTGGGAGCTAAAACGCTGACTGTCCAGAGCCATTTGAATGATGTGAAGAAATCCTTCTTCCTGAAGATTGGAATGATCAATTCCTTTAAGCCACGCCCCTGAATGATGTCATAGCGTGTCAGAATTCCATATGTAAATTAGGGGGCGGGGCATGTCGCAGTGTCACATTGGGCTTTCCATATGTAAACGTGGTGGGGGAAGTTTGAAAAGACATATTTTAGGGGGCAAAATAGATTTTTTCTACAAGTATCAGTTGTGTGTTTTTTTTTGTTTGGTTTTTTTGTTTACCTTTTTCTGTTCTTTCTACTTTATATGAAATTATTCAGACAAATAATTTAAAAGCTATCCATTTTAGACATGACGTGATGTGAACAGAAAACTCCCGCCTCAGAGTTGCTCGTCAGAAAAAAAAAAAAAAAGTTTGCTAGTCAGAGCAGATGCTAATTCTGCCTCCAGCAGAAATTAAGTGACTTTTCATTGGTGATTCTTGAATCGCCCTTTATTATTTCCCTGATTGTTGTTTTTCAGCTTCTTATTTTAATAGCTTTTAAATTAAAAAGTCAATTTATTGTCGGTAAGGTATATCACAGTAGTTAGACAAGCGCACCCTTTCTGAGGCTGTCGTTCTATTGGCTGGAAAGGTTGCTAGGCGACGATCCGATCCAATCTGAGAGCAAGCAAAAAAAACCCGCAAGCAGAGCCTACGGGTTTGTGCGCGAAGAGAAGGAGGCAAGCCAGAGGAGAAAATATCTGTGCAAGAAGCATTAAATCTGAGAGAAGAAACAAAGATTTGAGAGAGAAGAGAAAATATTTGAGAGAGTGCGCATGTTTTGAGTGTGAGCATTATAAGTTTTGAGTGCAAGAAGATGAAATTCTTCTCTTAAATTGAAATTATGTGCTCTTGCATTATGGCAGGATAATTCTCCCATAGAAAACATCCGTTCTGACACGCAACAGGCAGCTAATATTAAAATGTAATAAACTCACAGATCATCAATTATAATTATCCTAACAATCCTGTATTAGAAATCTATCATGTTGCATTGAGAATGCAGACTCTGAGGTGCATTTTGTGGCGTCTGTTTCTCCGCTTTTCTGTTTTGAAAGTGAGAAGAGCTACATGCTGCAATCAGAAAGGACACCGAATCTCACAAGCGAGTTTTTAGATCACCATTAAGATGATCACCACTGATGCATCTTCCTCTATGTTGGCTACGAATGACTGTCCTGTTTTTGCTGCACATTTTGCCTATTTAAAATGTTTGCTATTGAGAGTATTTTAGACTGAGTAATACTGTTGCAACCATTCTGTATTTCTATGTTGTTGTTTTTTTTACATTTGATTCATGATTAATTAACATCTCTGATATTTATTTATCCTCAAAACTAAATTATTTGAGCTGTGCCTTCAACCCACTGGTCTGTCCTATGGAGATAAAATGTATTTAATCTCCATATTAACAACTGTATGAATTTTAATATGAATATTAAAGAAGTGTGTCCTTATTTATTTCCTATTCAGGTGGGGGATCAGCCAAATGGCTCTCATTGTTGATGCAATCTTCCCTCCTTAGGATGCTCCTTTAGCTCACTAGTCCTCCCTAATCCTCTTACATTTTCCACTTAATGATCTCTCTTGAGACCTATATTACTTTGTGAATGACTATCTTTCCATGAGGTATTCTAGAATTACACATTTTGTTTTCCGAAATTCTAAAGCCAAAGAGCTACTTTTAGGATATTCACAAATGCTAATCACTTTTTATTTAATATATATATATATTTAAATAAATGGTGCAAAGGCTGTCGTCTTACCTATGTTTAAGGTTTATTTTAAGGTATGAAAGTTCAATTGTGCACCAGGTTGGATTAACTTTCTTTTATATGTGGTATCTGTAAGAACTGCAGGTCCCATCTGACCAGCAGTTGTCAGCATTGCTCCTTCTTAAAATGCATTTGTGAAACCTGTACTGTATGTTTTCTACTTCCCATGTCATTCCGCTGAAGACAACTCTCCCTTCTGATGTCTGGTGTGCAGCCAATTTATGTCCCATAGAAACCAGTCAGATCTCCAACCTTCAGGACCTTCCTAGGTGGGCTTCTGGGTTAAAAAGGTCTCACTCCTGCAGGGCATGGAGGCTGATCAAACTGCTGCTGCTCCCTGCAGATGCGTCTCTGAACGACATCCAGCATCATCTTCTGTAATCCAAACTGACCAGGGGTGACACACATCTAAACATGAGCTCAGTACATAAATAATGTATATAATTTTCTCAAAAGTAGAGCACAGTTTGTTGCTACATTTTTTAATATTTTGAGTATTTTAATAAAGTAACAGAATAATCTATTCTTTATTTTGCAGGCTGTAGGTAAATTTGGGTACGCTTAAAAAAAATGACCAATTAAGGAGCAATTTAAGGGAATCTAAAATTCATTCTGATTTTATTACAACAATGTTATAGTGCATTAAGGGACACCAGTGGAATGCTGCTCACATTTGACCACTTTAACCACACAAAACAAAAACTTCAGTGCAAGAGTTTTTATTATTTTCAACCGTTGACACAATCAGCAGAGAAAGTGAGCGATGAAGAGACGCCACTGAATCAGATCTTGTTGAATGCTGCTACATCCACACTTTGAACCTAAAACAAGAAAGAAAGATGGAGAAATGTTATATGACTCAACTGCAGGAATTTCTTAATTTTTTAACATTCGGGCCACATGAAGGCCTTCAGTCAGTGAGACAGGTTCATTGGTATGGAAATGGTCATTAGATCTACTGACAAACACCCAAAGTATACACATATAAATGCTAAGTAATTAAATGCAAACTTAAAACCCAATTTTTCAGCTTAAGGATCATTTAATGTTGAGTTGTGAAGTTTTATTTTTCTTACTTATACTTTTATGCCGAAAAGGTAACATAAAATCGAAAACTGTAGACATGTCTTAGTTTGATCTAGGCCCCAAATGCTAAATAATTCCTGATTTTACTTTACATCTTAATGCACCGATGTTAGAGCTTGCACTGGAACTTATAGCAAATTTACAGAGATTTTGTTAATTTTTAAATTTTTTTTGGAGGTAATGACTTAGGGGAAAAAAAAAAAAATCATCCCAGACCATTGACAAGAAAAAAATATTTTAAAAAAGCATTTCATTTGTGTAATCCCTTGACATTTTTTAACTGTCATAAATGAGATAGATATAAGTAAATATTTCATATTAAAAAAAAAAACCTTCTGACAGAACGCTCTCTATGTTTAAACATTGTGGTTAAATACTCATCTTTACTATATTTTAAATAAATACATCTACAGTCTAAAAACTGGCAGTGACAAACGTTTCTGATCTCACTAAGCAACTTCACAGGTTTAACACAGATTCAGAACCTTGAGATATCAGGACATCAATGGTGATTCAGAATTTGTAGTTAGAACAAACTGAAGCCATTTAGATATGTGACTGTTTATCTGTGTAAATGTTTGTTGTCTGGTTTTATACTAACATAATACATACAGGTGCTGGTCATAAAATTAGAATATCATGAAAAAGTAGATTGATTTCAGTAATTCCATTTAAAAAGTGAAACTTGTATATTATATTCATACATTACATACAAACTCATATATTTCAGATGTTTATTTTGTTTAATTTTGATGATTACAAATGACAACAAATGAAAATCTCAAATTCATCATATCAGAAAATTAGAATATTACTGAAGACCAATAAAAACAAAGGATTTATAGAAATGTTGGCCAACTGAAAAGTATGAACATGAAAAGTATGAGCATGTACAGCACTCAGTATTTAGTTGGGCCTCCTTTGGCCTGTATTACTGCAGCAATGCGGCGTGGCATGGAGTCGATCAGTCTGTGGCACTGCTCAGGTGTTATGATAGCCCAGGTTGCTCTAATAGTGGCTTTTAGCTCTTCTGAATTGTTGGGTCTGGTGTATTGCATCTTCTTCTTCACAATACCCCATAGATTTTCTATGGGGTTAAGGTCAGGAGAGTTTGCTGGCCAATTAAGAACAGGGATACCATGGTCCTTCAACCAGGTACTGGTAGCTTTGGCACTGTGTGCAGGTGCCAAGTCCTGTTGGAAAATGAAATCTGCATCTCCAAAAAGTTGGTCAGCTGCAGGAAGCATGAAGTGCTCTAAAACTTCCTGGTATGTGGCTGCGTTGACCCTGGACCTCAGAAAACACAATGGACCAACACCAGCAGATGACATGGCACCCCAAACCATCACTGACTGTGGAAACTTTACACTGGACTTCAAGCAACGTGGATGAAGTGCCTCTCTTCTTTTCCTCCAGACTCTGGGACCTTGATTTCCAAAGGAAATGCAAAATTTACTTTCATCAGAGAACATGACTTTGGACCACTCACCAGCAGTCCAGTCCTGTTTCTCTTTAGCCCAGGCAAGACGCTTCTGATGCTGTCTGTGGTTCAAGAGTGGCTTGACACAAGGAATGCGACAGCAGAAACCCATGTCTTTCATACGTCTGTGTGTGGTGGTTCTTGAAGCACTCACTCCAGCTGCAGTCCACTCTTTGTGAATCTCCCCCACATTTTTGAATGGGTTTTGTTTCACAATCCTCTCCAGGGTGCGGTTATCTCTCTTGCTTGTACACTTTTTTCGACCACATCTTTTCCTTCCCTTCGCCTCTCTATTAATGTGCTTGGACACTGAGCTCTGTGAACAGCCAGCCTCTTTAGCGATGACCTTTTGTGTCTTGCCCTCCTTGTGCAAGGTGTCGATGGTCGTCTTTTGGACAACTGTCAAGTCAGCAGTCTTCCCCATGATTGTGTAGCCTATAGAACTAGACTGAAAGACCATTTAAAGGCTTTTGCAGGTGGTTTGAGTTAATTAGCTGATTAGAGTGTGGCACCAGGGGCCATCAATTTTGAACCTTTTCACAATATTCTAATTTTCTGATATGATGAATTTGAGATTTTCATTTGTTGTCATTTGTAATCATCAAAATTAAACAAAATAAACATCTGAAATATATGAGTTTGTATTTAATGTATGAATATAATATACAAGTTTCACTTTTTAAATGGAATTACTGAAATCAATCTACTTTTTCATGATATTCTAATTTTATGACCAGCACCTGTATGCTGATGAAGATTCTCAGTCATCCAGGTCATAGTCATTCCGTAAAAGTTTAAAAAACACAATCCACTGGACTTCATTTCCAAGATTTTAAGACGTTTCGCTACTTCTCCAGGAAGCTTTCTCAGTTCAAAAAAAATATTTTTAATAAGTAGCGAAACGTCTTCAAATCTTGGAAACCAAGTCCAGTGGATTGTGTCTTTTAAACTTTTACGGAACATAATAAATACCAACATAAAATAATATCTATTGTTTACAGCAGCAGATTGTGGTCGAATCTAAAAGCTCACACAGCTTCCTCTTCCTTTTAGGGCCAGTACTTTTGGAAAATGTTTACCGCATCCCATTATTCTAATTAGTAATTTCTACTTCAACTCTGAATCTTAACCTAAAGAAATGTTGAAATATAACAATGCAAATAAATCTGATGAAGTCTTTATAGATGACAGACTTGAATATCAACTTTATTTAACTGTTCCTGGACCAGTGGGGTTTGGGGTTTAGGGTCAGTAATATTTTAACCCGAAACAACTGTGTAGTGATCAATTAGAAAATAATGATTTTAACAAAATATATTCCAAAGAGGAGTTAACAACTTAATACTTACTGCTTCTAATATAGAGTAATTAAAGAGGAAGGTAATGAAAATTTACCTTATAGAGTATAGAGTTTAGTTTTTTTAAAGTGAAACTAAACAAAAAAAATAATTCCTAAAAAGTAAATGTTCTTTTTAGTATTTTTCTCACATGTACTAAATACTCTCCAAGTACTTACATAGTCTTCGAACTTGGTGATCTCCTCCTCCAACAGGTCTGTTCCCACCTTGTCGTCTTCTACCACACATGCGATCTGGAGCTTTTTGATGCCGTATCCCACAGGAACCAGCTTGGACGTCCCCCATAGCAGACCGTCTGCCTGCACCGAGCGCACGCACTCCTCCAGCTTAGCCATATCCGTCTCATCGTCCCACTACGACAAGGAGGAGACAAGGCACAAGTTAAACAGAGAAAATATTAAGTTGGTAGATGTTTATAGAGTAAAGTGAGTTTATGCAAACTCACAGGTTTAACGTCCAGCAATATTGAGGACTTGGCGATGACAGCAGGCTTCTTTGCCTTTTTCTCTGCATATTCCTTCAGCCTCTGCTCTTTAAGTTTCTCTGCCTCTTCATCATCTTCATCACTACCGAACAGGTCAATGTCATCATCTTCGTCATCATCGTCGTCCTTTTTAACTGGAGCGCTGGCCTTATGCTGGCCCTGGGAGAATGAGTGAAAACTTAGCTTAATTTATCCCAACCAGTTATCTTTATAACATTTTCTAATTGGTGGGAAAAACCGATCAAAATTGGCTCACGTTTGTGTAGGGGACGGAGAGAGCAGGAGCTGGGGCTGCAGTGACCGGAGATTTCTCAAGAACAGCCACTCGACATTCCAGTTTGGAGAGCGCCGCCCGTAGGTCATCTACCACTAAAGAAAACAGGATGAGCGTAGGCATTAATTAAACAGGAAATGTCAAATACTCAGTACAACAGATGATTTACTATAAAGATGGGGGGCCTTTAAAGAAACCATCATAAAAGAGAGAATATGCCGTTTACCAACAGTCCTCCTTATAAAGTTTTGGAAAATATGTCCTGAGTGCTAGATGTGAACCTTCATGCATCCTCTCTGTTCCATTTGAACTTTTTTGGACGATTAAGAAATTAATATTAAACAAATTGGTAGTTTTTGAAATTTAAATACCTGACAAGTTCAGGGTCTTAAAAATGATTTAGTGCTGAAATTAATTAGAGGATGAATTTTCCTTTTTTATTACAAGCTTTTAACTCTTACTGCTTTTAAATGTTTTAGCAGTTAAATAATAGACTAAGTTATATGGAAAGTTAACATTCAGGGTATAAAACATATGACTTTTAAATCTAAAATGGGGTGACAAATTTAATCCTCTAATTTAATCTTCTAATACTCTAAATATAGATTTTCCATTTCAAACTCTAAACCTCTCCAGAAGGAAATGTATCTTTTTTTTGAGGGGCATCTTGATAAAATTACTTTTTTACAATTTACCACATAAGTAGATAGATAGCACAACATTTAATACAGATTCCGCTCATGATGATGTTTTCCTTGAAACAGGTTTTATCTTAAAAAAAAAAAAACTATAGTAAATATTTAGGAGTATAAAAGTGAATATTTTACACTCAACAAAATGAGAGGAACTTTTTGACATAGACAATAAAACCTTTTCCCTCAAATGTTGTTTAGAAATCAGTCTAAATCTCAGATGGTGATTACATCTCCTACGCAGAGATAATCCCTCCCAGGGGGTCTTGGTATTTGAACAGTCAATATCTGGTCTGATCACCATTTGCTTCACATAAAGCAACACATCTCCTTTGTTTAGAGCTGATCATCAATGTTGGTCCATTCCTCTTCAATAGCTGTGTGAAGTTGCTGGATATTAGCAGGAACTGGTACACACTGTTGAATACGCCGATCCAAAGCATCATAAACATGCTCAATGGGTGACATGCCTGGCGTATGCCGGCCATGCAACAACTGGGACATTTTCAGCTTCCAAGAATTGTGTACAGATCCTTGCAACATGAGGTGAGGTTCTTGGATGTATGGCACAAAGACAGTGGTAGCAATTCAAAATTTACCCACTTTCCTTAATGGGCCCTCGGCTGGTTCCCTGCAATTCCTTTTTAAACCTTAATATTTGTACTACAATATTATGTATGATTATGTATGTCATGATTTGTGGACATTAAGATCTAAAGAGAAGCATCATCTCCTGGTCAGACCCTGTAACTCATAGAAAGGGTGGGGTCAGAGTAAAAAAATGTTGGAGACTGGGTCACTCCAGTGGCTTGAAGTTGGAGGGGATTTTCGGTGGGAGTTGGAGGGAAGTTGGCTGCCAGTCGGCTGGCGTTTGCCTGGGAAGGGCCATTTTGAATGGCTGCTGCTGTATGGGATCAGGATCTCATCACGTGTCTCTGTGCATTCAAAAACCATCAATAAGATGCACCTGTGTTCTTCTACCATAACAGAGGCCTGCCCATACCATAACCCCACATCTACCATTGGCTACTTTGCACAACATCAGAATACCGCTCACCCACTGTCTGCCATCTGCCCTGAACAGTGTAACCTGGGATTCATCCGGGAAGAGAACACCTCTGCAACGTGCCAGACGCCAGCATGTGAGCATTTGCCCAATCAAGTCGGTTACGACGATGAACTGGAGTCAAATGGAGACCCTCGATAAGGGCGACAAGCATGCAGATGAGTCTCTCTGAGATGATTTCTGACAGTTTGTGCAGGAATTGTTTGATTAATTAAAATGGTTGTTTCAGCAGCTGTCCGGGTGGCTGGTCTCAGACGGTCGTGGAGGTAAACAGGCTGGGTGTGCAGGTCCTGGGCTGGTGTGTTTACACCTGGTCTGTGGTTGTCAGGATTATTGGATGCACCGAAAAATTCCCTGAAACACCCTTGGAAACGGCTTCAGGTAGAGAAATGAACATTCAATCCACGAGCAACAGCTCTGGTTGACATTCCTGCTGTCAGCATGTTTAGTGCACGCTCCCTCAAATCTTGTGACATCTGTGGCATTATGCTGTATAATAAAACTGCACCTTTCAGACTGGCCTTTTATTGTTGGCAGTCTAAGGCACACCTGTTCAATCATGGTGTAATGAGCATCTTGATATGGCACACCTGTGAGGTGGGATGGATTATCTCAGCAAAGGAGAAGTGCTCACTATCGCATATTTAGTCTGGTTTGGTGATAATATTTTAGGGAAACGGTGATTTTATATATATTTAGAAAAAGTTTTAGATCTTTAAGTTCATCTCATGAAAAATGGGAGCAAAACCAAAAGTGTTGCGTTTATATTTTTGTTGAGTTTGGGTTTCAGAGTGAAGTCCTAATTTTAATAGTCAGATCCACGGTTATCACAAATTAAAAGATAAGAAATTAATCAACAACCTGTTCTAAAGATTTTAATTCAGGACTAAACTGGGACATTATGTCTGTATATTACATTTAGCCTTAGAGAAAGGAAATTAGTGGATGCAAGTAGTTTTTCAGCTCATTGAAAGTATTCATAGAGTCCATCTTTCTAATAAAAAAATAGATAAATAAATAGATTCAGCCAAAATAAAGCACCAAACGTCACTTTTGATTAAATTAGACAAACCCTTCTCATTAAAAATAAAGTTAATAAAAATTTACAACATGTCCATTTTTGGTTTTCTTTCAGAAAACTGTTCTTTCACTCTGATGCTTCAAATAAATATAAAAATACTGAATAATACATAAAGCCTGAATTATGAATTTGCAATTTATTTGTATATTATACAGGAAATAACACAATAAGCCCCAAAAGTTCAAGTACAGATGCTGCATGTGTGGGAAACTGAAGGCGAAAAACAGACCTTTGTGTAAACTCTGGTTCTCCAGCTCCAGGCTTTTGATCCGAGAAACGAGTTCTCCCTGATCGGCTGCATTGTTGCTGCTGCTGTTCTGCAAACGAAGGACATTAAGAATAAAAAGGTTTAAAGAACTAAAAAGAAGTCAACATGGCAGCCTCTTCAGCAAGACAGAGACTGAAGAAAAACAAGTTGTGAGAAAGCAGGCAGAATTACAACATAAAGTTGATGCTTCTACCAAACTGGAAAGTCTTCCACACACTTTGTGGGATTTGGATTTTAAAGAACTGGCTTTATAAGGCCACCTGTAGATAGAGCAGCAGAAGGTGCTTCCAGTGACACACAAGACTGGGAGGAACTTACAGGATGGGACTGTTGGGTCAGGGAAGCTTGGGAAGACCCTTTGTTACGCAGCGTATTCTTCAGCTTGGAGGAGGGGGTGCAGGTATGGAGCAAGGAGAGCAAACGGCAGGAAAATTGAAACCAGGGAAAGGGAAATTGAATAAAGAACATGAAAAAGCAAAACAACTGAACTTTGAGGTACATGGAGTTATTTTTGTGAGGGGGGGGGTAATTCCAGAAGAAAAGGTTATTCTGAAAGGGGGAAATGACTTTGAAAGTAAAATTTATATATTTTCACACTGATGGCAAAAGCTGATGTTATTTGAGACTGAAGAAAAAGTTTTGAGAAAAAAATATTTTGTCATTGAATAAATAAAATAAATTGACATTTTGAAAATGATTTCCAAGGGAAAAAGGCTCTCTCAAAAATGTCTGTATTGACGGGCGGGAATAAAAGTCTGTGGTGAAGCTGAACAAGATGGCTGGCATCATGTTTGTTTAATGCAACTTATTGTGTTTAACAAGTTGCACATGACACATTTCTCACATCGAGCACACTTATTCTCTCTATATTTTTTCATGTGCAAATAAACACCAGTTTTTGCAATCAGTAAATTTTTGTGCTTTTAATACAATTTTCCCCTTTCAGACCGCTTTTTTCTTGAATAAAAAAAACCCAAAAAGAACTCCATAGAGACAATGGAGGAAATCAGTCTGAAAGCAAATAATAACCAGAGTAAAGAAAGGGGCGCATGCAGAAAGCAACTGAATCCAGTGGAAGTGAACACTGCTAGATTAAACTGATGAAATTAGTGAAAAATGTCCCATTCATTCAAACTAAAATCACCAACAAGTCTGCAGTCAGACGAATGGAAACCATCCCTTTAAAATTCACCCGTTAGCCAAGCATGCTGGGGATGCATGAAAGGCCTTCTTGCTGTCTATTCCTCCTTTTTAGTCACCTGTGAACATTTGTTTTCCTTCTAATTTGAGTTTTTTCTAGTTTGTGTTTTTTTTTAAGGCTTATTCTAGATTGATTCACTCACTGTAATATTAGTTGTTAGTCATCATTTATAAGATGTTCCATCCCCCAGATCTTAATAAAGACGAATAAAAATAAGCTGGGACTTTTTTGTCACCTTGGTAAATGTCAGAGCTCAGTCTGTCTTAGAAGGCAGTGCTTTTCTACTTTCGGCTACTTTAGAACACCAGTGAAATGTAAAGTAATAGAAAATATAGGTAATAGTATGTTGAGACTCCAAAAGAGATCTGATTCTTAAGAAACTGGTGCAATACAGTCTGTCCGAGTGCCGTTGCCATATGATGATGTCATAAGAAGGGGCAGGGCCCCGAGCAGATCTGACAACCCAAGCAGTCTGGTACATTCGTCTCCAAAAGATCAACTCTTAACCCGTCTAAACAGGTGGCAGCTTAGCGCAAATGTTTTAAGTGGCAAAGAAGAAATGTGTCAGAACTGACAAACTAACCAGTAAATAGATTCCTATTTTAAATTACATGGTATTAGATCGATGCCCGGACTCCAATACTCAGCAATACTGATGCCAGCATTTTCAGAATTGGAGACATTTCCAATACTGGTAAACCTTAGTTAAATTCAATAAATAACAGGAGGTGAATATATACTGGCAAATAGTCTTCAGATCAGTTTATGCCATTTAAAGCTAACGATTGCAATGGTTCTCCGGTTTAAGGTTTCAGTTTAAAATAAGATAGCATGCAAGGCAGGAAAACTCTTTCAAATAAATTCTGTAGAATAATTAGACATGTATTCCATGAGGAGAAAGGTTTCAAATGTGCATGGTGATGGCTTTTATAAATCCCTACCCCGGCTAGAGATTTCTGGATGTTCTCCCGAGCGCGAGCAATGTCCTGCAGGATGGCGTTAGCTCCAACATCCTGTGAGGAAAAACAAGGAAATGTTGATGGACTTTTTACTTTGAAAACATTTCAATAGAAGACACAGATGACCTGGTTGAATATGTGCCTTCAAAATCAGGTTTAACAGAGAAAGAGTCAAATCTTTTGTCTCAATGATTTTTCACCAGACTTAAGCTCCTGTCACACCTTGCTGATTAAGACAGCGTATGCCCGACGGCATACACTGTACTTTCTATGTACTTTTTAAATTTTTTTACATGCAAATAGCGGATCCTTAACAAGTCCAGAACTTATGTCCAACTAACTTATGCATAACTCGAAGCATCAGTTAAAGCTGCTCCCCAGTCTGCAAAGAAAGATGTCTTTGAAAGCTGTATTAACCTGGCTACTGTTCAACCCCCACCCCCCCAAAAAAAAACTGAATAAATAAAAAGAAAAAGAAAGAAAGACGGTTTGCAGCCGCAGCAGATTCAGCATCATGTCTGCTAGTAAGTTTGCTGGTCGTGGGCGTGAACGCAGGGAGGATCCATCACACTTACCTTCTCGCTCATCCTATGAAGGGGATGCTGCAGTATTGAGGAGAACAGACGGTTTCCTCCTGTGAACCCCCCTTTTATACCAAAACGCTGCCAACTAGGGTTGTCAAAAGTATTGATACTCAAAAAAGTAACGATACTGAAACGTATCCGGATACAATACTCATTTTTAAAAGTATCGATACAGTGCCACCACCAGTGGCACCTAAACAGTCATTCATCTAAAGTGCAGAATAGAGGAAAATGCACTTTCAGAACACTGTGTGATTGAATAATTCTNTTTCTTAACCGGTTTGGCTAGCGTCATTGTTATGTGTGCAAAACATAGCCAAGGAAGGAACACTTAATTTTAGTTTTATATGTTTTTTTTCACAGCATACAACCTTTATTGTATTTATTTATTGTATTTTATTTATTAATGAAAATATTTCTGTAGAATGTTGGAGTCTTTGTTTTTATCCTTTTGGTATCGAAAATGGTTTTGAGTATCGAATATTTTCCTTAATATCAGTATCGAGTTGAAAAGTTTAGTATCGTGACAACCCTACTGCCAACACACCATTATACAGTAGCTAGAAGTTAAAAACACGTTCAGCGGTCCTCTGGAACACGTCAAATACGTTGGAGATTTCTTGGAGAACTTTTTGATAAGTTACGCATAAGTTATGCACACGTTACTCATAGGTTTTGGATAAGCTAGACGCCACGACTTATGAGTAACTTACACTTAATGTATGTAAACGATCAAATAGCTTACCTGAAACGTATGGCCCACGTATGCCAAACACTGTCATACGTCAGGAAATTTTGAGAATAAATTTCTCGACGTACTTGCCGTATGTCGATGCCAGCGTGCTCACAATTTACACAAAACTGACCCATAACTTATTCAACGTATGCCAGCATTTTTGACAGATTTTTCGTACGTCAGGCATACGCTGGTCTAAATCATCAAGGTGTGACAGGGGCTGTAATATGATAGCAAATCTGCCTCAGCTTCCCCGCTTTTTTTCCACAAAAAAAAAAAAAGACCATAATACCTGCATTACAGTGACTGAGCTAATAACACTTACAGGACAACGCAGTAGAACAAATAATTTAGGATTTAAAAAAGGTTGTAAAAAATGAAAATTAAACCATTCCTGCAGGTTATGATCTACAGCTTCTCTAGCAGTGCTCTCTAAAAACTGAAGGACTAATTTGAATGGTTACCTGCGAGGTTTGTGATGAGCCGTTCATTCGCTCATAGAAGCGTCTTTCTGCCTCATCGTAACGCGGCTTCTCAAACCAGATCTTCTCCTGAGCCAAGAAGTTCATTGAGCTCATCTTTCTATGAGAGAAACGGACATTTAAGCACAAAGAACAAAAAAATACTGTTACAATATGAAGCTTATAATGACGTAGTATGTATTGAAGCTCTGCTATCAACTTTGAACATTTTACATGGCCTTTTAATATGACTTTCTTACAAAACCAAAACCCAAGTGCAACTTAATGCTGGAAGGAGGATGGGAAGAAATAAAGCAAGTCTGGTAGAAGAGTCACCCAGGGAGTTAAAGAATAATAACAAAAAAAGGAAATGAAAGCATGAAATACAATGAATGAAAGAAAAAAACAAAAAGCGAAACTTAAAATAAGGAAGATTAAAATGAAATGTGATGAAAGATGAACTGAAACATCTGGAGCAGCTCCGTTCCCCCGGTTTGGTCATACTTGTCCCTTTTTGCCGTCTTGGAGGCGGCTGGTGTCTTTCCTGCCTCTGGCCTCTGTTTCTTCTTCACGGTGCAGACTTTATTTGAACCTCCGCTGTGAAAACGCTTCTCTGCAGCATCGTACTTCCACTTGTCCAGCCACACCGGCTCGCTGTCTTGGTGAAGGAACAAGCACACCCCTGAAGCTTCTTCAATCTCCAGGAGCTCAGCTGGTTCTTCTTCCTCCTGAATTGGGTGGAGGGCATGGAAGACCTCCGCTTTACACTGCAGGATTGGCCGTTTCTCCTCCTCCGCCACATCCTCCATGTCCTCTTCTTCCTCCTCTTCCATGAGGCTATGAGGGTGGTCGCTTGGTCTGGGGGTGGGGCTGCAGCTTTGTCTCTTGGAGGAATTGTTAGCATACATGTTCTGGTAAAAGGCTGCTTCTGCGCGATCGTACAGAGGTTTGTCGAGCCACACCTCCCTGAGCAGCTCCACCGGGATACGAGGCAGCCCGTTAATCGACTGCCGAGATGTTGGAATGACAGGCGTAGCAGGAGTTGGGGTTCTAGACTGATACCCTTCATCAGGGGTTCTGGAGGCCCTGGGGCGGTTAGTCGGAGGGGGGAGCTCAAGCGAGTTTGGAACGGACCGTGGAGCAGATTCTTCAACAAAGCGGCGCTCTGCTTGGTCAAAAGTCATCTTGTTGACCCACACTTCTTCCACTACATGGTGGCACGCTACCTGATCACCATGGTGACAAGTCAGTCCTGAGGTAGATGGAGTCACGGTGGAAAGCGTGATGGAGCGTTTCCCTGAGGGCAGATGTGAGCGGCTGGGCTTGGCGTTCCGTTTAGAGGCGTTCACCAGCCAGCGCTGGTAGAGGCTCTCAGCCCGCTCATAGACGCTGCATTCAAACCAGACGCTGCTGCACTCTGACTGCAGGCCCATTAACGCAGCCTGATGGTCAGGGGAATGGCTGCTGCCTTCTACGGTCTTTTCTTTAGTTTTCCCTTCATCCACCTTTCCCTCATTGGCGCTGCCAGGATTGGATGAACGTTTCCTGCGACGTCGGCTTTTCCCACTGCGCTTTCCGTTTCCATTCAAGCTGCCGCTCTCTGGGGATGAGGAGGTCGTCTCTCCGTTTCTTTGGCCCGGTTCTGTCTTTTTCCTGCAACTCGGGGCTGCCTTTGTGGTCTGATCCAGCTGACTTTGGCTGGGAGGCTGCTCATGCTCCGACTGGTCCTTTACAGAGATCTTCTTGGACATCTTTGGACCATTGTAGGACAGAAAGAATAACAGGTACAAGCTTTTGGATTAGTTAGAGGCAAGAGAATGAAGGCTTCATTTTTAGGAGCTAGATTAATGGTATATTTTACTCTGGAACGGACCATAATGCAGACTTTAAAACAAAATCCACAGGCGAGTCCATGACTAAAACAGCAGCATGCAGACAGCCTACAAGTCTCCATGCAGAATAACGGGGTTCACTGGGATGCAACTTGGTAAATCTGATTATTAAAGGGTTACAGGCATTCAGAGTCCTATGTTAGCCGTGATAGATTAAATAGTGAAATTAATACCACAAACCTCAGTGTATTTTATTAGGATTTTTGGTATCAGAGGGGGCAGGTTCTGGTCAGAACAGGGTTGAATAATGAGAACAGAGTTGAAACTAAATACCAGCCAATCATGGAAGGAAGCAGAAGTTGCAGAAAAAAAATAAAAAACCCAGACGGATCTTCACCCTCCATACGGGAAAACAACACCATGTATAAAACTGAAGCTATAATACAACTGTTTATATCAGAGCTTTTAAAATAGAGACTAAAAAATACCAGCTTCTCCGGAGCCAAATGTTTTCAGTGCAGTTCAAACTGCATGGAGCTGAACAGAAATCTATTCTAGTAGATGGTCTGTCACATTAAATCCAAATAAAATGCAAGAGATTTGTGGTAAAATATGAGGTAAACATTAAAGGGTAAAGACTGCATGAGGATCAAAACCCAGAGCTACTCTTAAATCTTTACATACTATAAAAGGATACTATAAAAACTTCCAGAATACAGGATTAATACTAATGTATGAGCATGCAGAGAAAAACTTTCATGCAATTTATCAACATTGCAGCAAATCCGACATTATGCAAATCATGCTGGTTTATAATATCCCATAAAATACAGGCATTTACTTACTGAAAAATAACTGATAAGCTAAAACTAATTCCCTTTAGGGAAAATATTTAACTCACCTTCCTTGGTAAAGGTGTAGCAGTCAAGCTATAAACAAAGTGAACCCCTCAACACGTTCTTTTCATCCAGTTAACCGCAAGCAAGTGAAAAAGAGATTTAACAATCACCACCTTGTTAAGTTTATAAGACAATTACATTACATGCCATGAGAAGTAAAGGTTAAAGCAATCCAATTTGTAACTCTCTTAGAAACTAGTATGTGCAGTTAGAGGAAAAAAAGGTGTGCTATCTTATATAAGTCATTGTTCCAGATTAAAATGTGCTATTACCAAGAATCCAGGGCTCAATGTTTACCAAAATATAGATCAGAATAAATCCCAAAGCTCATTTTTTTTATTTACCCTGATTTACAGTAATCTTTTGGTAAATCAGAGATTAAATTTGAACAATTTTTCTTTAATTATGGCAGACTGGGCTTGATTAAGCCTTATCCTTTAAACTACACGTCTTAGACTAAATCCATGGAGAAGAACTGAAAACTCTGCTCATCTACAGCTTCTTTTAGTTTCAGTCTAGTCTTAGTCATAAAGGATTATAGATATATAAATAAGCATTTAATCAGAAATCCATCCATTCATTCATTTTCCGCCAAGCTTTATCCCAAGTGGGGTTGTGAGGGGTGCTGGTGCGCATCTCCAGCTGGACCCTGGTTAAGTCTCCAGTCCATCGCAGGGCAACACAGAAAAAACAACCATTCACGCGCACACACACATCTAAGGAGAATTTAGAGAAGCCAATTAACCTAACAGTCATGATTTTGGACTGTGGGAGGAAGCCGGAGAGAACCCACGCATGCTCAGGGAGAACATGCAAACTCCATGCAGAAAGACCCCGCGTCGGAAATGGAACCCAAAACCTTCTTGCTGCAAGGCAGCAGTACTACCCACTGCTCCACTGAGCAGCCCTTGGTCAGAAATATTATTTAGAAATTGGCATAAAGGTTTTATTCCAGCCACAATTGTAATCTTCACTAAATAAATCCAGTTGTTTGGGGCTTTTAATCACCTAGCATGAAAAGCCTGAAAATACTTACCTAAACAGGACAAATACATTCTCCCTGCCTCTTGTATAAACCCTAAAAAAAAACCTAATTTAGACCTTCTAATGTTAAGGAATGCAAACACAATCATAAGAAACTTCACAAGTCAGTTTTTGTCTTTATCAGAGCTAATCCTGTATGTAGTGATGTTATGTTCTGTGCTCGAAGGGCTGGTTGTACTACTGCAGCAGTGTGTCGCAGCGAGCTTGACGCAGACATTTTTGATTTATGCTCGATATTGAAAGGTGGTCTGCGCTACACGCTGTGATTCTAGATACAGCCGAGGCGGTGAGGAAGTTTGTCCGACAACGGAGGGACATGACGACCAAAAAGAGCGAGGATCCAGGTGGAAAAAGGGTCCCATCGTTCTCGCGCACCTCGCTCTTCTAGCTGGTCCAAGTTCACAAGTTGTTTTCCGCAATTTCGGTCATAAAACAAAACAAGCCAACCTCCTGCCTGCGGCACTGTCTGCGGTCACCTACAATTTGAGATAGGTGCAGCAGAGTGTCAGCGGAGGGGGCGGGGACATCTTTTTGTTCACAGTGACACCTACGCAGACGACCTGGTTTCGAAGTATAAATCAGCCTTTAAGCTGTATGAATGCAATTGAATGCAATTCACAGAGGAGATCACATACAAGTCGCATATTTGGAAATGTGAACGGCAACACAAAAAAAAAAAAACATATTTCACAAAAAAATCTGAATTTAGCATCAAGGCCTGCAGTGTGAACGTAGGCTTAAAGACCAGTTTGATAAAACACAATTTCATACAAGAAATATATATAATTAGGGGGTCCCTGCTTCATCTCGCCATCAGTTTGGGGCTCCTTGGCCTGGAAAACGTTGAAAACCTCTGATGTATGTTACAACTTTGCGATTATGATTCCTGCTTAACATAAACATGTCATTTTGTCTTGCTTATGGTCATAGATAGATATCTGCACCTGAACACATCTGTGTTGTAGTTACACATCTTCTGAAGCTCAGGGCTGTTAATGGGCTTCACTTCACAGACCTCCATAAGTCATTCTCTCCTTTATGCACTTTTTTCCTTCCATTAAATCTCTGATTAATATTCTTTTTCAATGGATGACTGTCGACAACTGTTTCCCTTCCCATTATGTAGTTTTTAAATAAAAAGTCAGTGGCCTCAAATAATTTAATACGTTTTCTAAGGAGGAGGGTCAGTTAAAAAAAAAAAAAAAAATCTCCCAAATCATCATTTTCTCAATTAACTATGAATCAATCTCTAAATAAAATAATGAGTTTCATTGTTTGAACTGCGTTATTAATATTGATATGAATATGAAGCTTGTTTAATAAAAATAAGACAAACCTGTCGCTATAAAAGGAAGCAACGTCCTTCATCTGAAGCAATAAAGAGCCTCATCATGTCAAAGTGCGTCCAGCCTGCTAACCTCAACATTAGCCATTTTATTCACTGTCATATCGGTGTTAGCTCGCGCTAAATGTCCCCGTCCGAACATTAATATACGTGATAAAACTAAATTAACAGTTTTAATATGAATGTAGACTACTAGGTACCAATTTCAACCAGCAGCAGCGGCCATTCACGCCGGTTTTCTGAAGGCGTGCCAGTTAGCAGCCTGCTAGCCTCTGCTAACAGGCTAGCACCTTTATTCTTCCCTATTAACACCCAGTGTCCGAATTAACATTTTCAAACAGCATATAAAACATTGAGCCATATCTGCCAGTCAACGTTATCGTTACTTACTGCTGTGTTTTTTTTGTCTTTGTTACGTAGTGAATGCAGGCCGGTGGGGAAAACTCGTGTTCCTTCAGCCGAGTGTGTGACGAGGAGGAGGAGAAAGGAGGAGCAGGGAGCAGCGGTGGAGGAGTGTGAAATCGGAGCATGTGGGGAGGGGGACTTGTGATTCATTAATACCCCCGCGTGTTTGTGCTGAAATTATACCATTAACAGCATCTGATACACAAATTAATTTTAAATGCTGCCATTTTCTACCGAATGACGTCACGAATCAGTCTTTTTGTTACACCAGCATTGTAGTGATGGATCCAATGGCGTAACTATCGGTAAGAAGAGACTGCAGGTGCTTAGGGGCCCCATGACCGACATTTGGTTGGCCCCCAGCTGGGCAACAATAGTCTGCTCAGGGGGGGAAGAAAGGGAAGAAGAGAAAGAGAGACTCCAGGGTTGCGGGTTCGATCCCAGCAGATGCAAAGTTATGTTTGAGTAAAAAATTTTCCCAAAGTAAAATAAAGTAATTTGTTTTGCCTTAAATCCACCTGATAATAAATCAACTGACCAGACAGTATTTATACACCAACACAGGCCAGATTTCAACATGATGGTGACACCAATAGCAAAGCATTACTATGTTAATAACCGTGTATAGTTCATTATACGGTTGGTAAAAAAATACACTGATATATGTCTCAAACTGCAATAAAGATCTTAAAAGAAAGATGTATTTGAGTATTTAATTATTGCAATACGACTTGGAATTATGGGTAATCCAGAGCGTAGATTAAAACCATAACCATTCCAGAAGACAAAAAGCGAAGAACAGCTGCTGGAAGAAAGGAAAAAAAAACGGGGATGGGGTGTTGTACTTCATATGGGGCCCACCCAGATAATGTTGCCTACAGGCCTATTGTTGTGTCTTTAAACCATTGGATGCATCACTCTACCAACCCGGGGACCAGGCTCTAGGGGCCCTAGGAAGCTCGGGATGGGGCAGAGGGTTGAGATTCCAGTCATGTTCTAATTGCAGGAGTGTAATTTTGTGATGAAAGTTGGTGGGAACACTCAGGTGGGGGCTGATGGACCTACAGTTACTCCACCCGAACGCTTTCATTAGGTTTTTATATTTTCCAAAAATTAGCTCAAACATTTATTTTATGCTTTCCTATTGTTGAGAACACAAGATAAATATAATACCCTAATATTTATATTTAGAGATGTCTTTTTGTGCATTCCATATATAGGGCCCAAAAACAATTTATAAACAAATAATGAATAACAGCCGATTCTGATGCCAAAATCGATACATCATGCATTCCTAAAAGCACAATTCAATTCCATCCATCCAGAAAAATTATGGCTATGCTTCATTTTAAATATAGCATAGCCATATTTTTTTCTTGTAAAGTTGCAGAAATATTTTATTGCATATTCCAGTAAATATGTTTTACCTTTAAATCTGCAGCTGTCCCTACTTCTCTCTTTGCTCTGTTTAAAAAGACTCATGAACCTATTTACTAATAAAATGATGCCAGGAACAAAATGTAAAGGTATGTAGAAGCTCTGCAGTCTGATTCTGTCTGTACAATAAGAAAATGTGTTCATTTTAACCTGTAACTGGGAGGCATGGTCCTCTGAGAAGCCCAGCTTTTTTAACTAGTAAAAAAGAACAATGTTTTCTCAAGCTTCTTGCATTATAATACTAACTTTTATAATCTTACAATTTATTAAAAAGCTCTGTATGTCTAACAGATTTTTCAGTAGTATGATCTCTAATTTTTTTAACCAACCCGTCTCCTAACTTTTACTTAAACATCAAAGTAGCTGCTAATTAATATTCACTGAGTGCTGCTGTGTGTCTCTCCTCCAACCACGTAGCGACTTTGTACGCAGTGAAATGCAACCGCAAATCAAATGTCTTAAAACGACAGATCCGATGATGTCACACCAAGATGTGAGACACTGGAGCAGCAGGAGAGAGGAAAAAAAAAAAAAAAACATAGACTCAAAATGCTCTGAACACAGACAGCTGCACCAACCTCTGTTACCTTAGGCTAAAGTAAATAAGCAGAGAAGGGAAAAAAGTGGAAATTATTGGTGGGTACATGTCCACACCAGTCCTTCAGAAAGTTACACCTGTGTCTCATTTAATAGTAACATCGCAGAAGGAATAATTCAGTCTCTGAGGACTGAGTATATTTATAATAAAAAAAAAAAAAGTTCTTTTCAACAAAAATTAAATCGCCATAACTGTGTTCGGCTTTTCATATGGTGATAAACAATCCCTGCACTCATATGCAAATTAGCATTGTGTCAAAACGCTACCTACTTTAATTTCTCCAAAATGTTGACATCTTACCTTATCTGATTTTCTGAACATTGGTTCATAAAGTGGAGAGAAAATATAAGTCATGCATCTTTTAGCACAAGTTTAGAGTAAAACTTGGAAAGTTATCATCCGCTGTCATTTCTCAATTTTGAGAAAAGAGATAAATAAGAAGCTCTTATTGTGAAAGACCAGACAATGAGATGCAAAGTGATAAAGAAAATAATCATGTTTTTCTTTCTTTTAATCATAAAACACTAAATTGTTGAAAGAAAAAGAAAAGCATATTTTTAAGACTTTCCGTGGTTAGAGTTCAAGCTGTGGTTTTTGAAACCCATCATGGACGTAGAGATCCTTCCTGCTGCCTATTTGCTGCCAAGCTCCCGGGCCCTCTCAGTGGCTGATTCCACCGCACTCATGACAGACGCCCTCAATCCTCCCTGCTCTAGAGTGTGAAGCCCATAGATTGTTGTTCCACCAGGCGTGCAGACCTCAGACCGAAGCTGAGCTGGATGCTTCCCAGAATCGCGTAACAATCTCCCAGCACCCTGCAGCACATTATAGTAGAGAAAAAAAAACTGTAAATATGAAAATAGATTCCTTAATCAAGAATATCTGGAAAACAACTGTGTAGATAGAAGATTAAACTGACAAGAACAGTTTGGGATGCAATGCTGTGAGCCAGAGAACTTGGCATGCCCATTTTTACAGCTCCTTCCGCCAGTGCTTCAGCAAAAAGATACACCTGGAAAAAAAGAAGCAACATTTACAACAAGCAACATTTTACACAGTGCATATATGTTACTCTTGGGAGATAATTCAGAGTAAATATGGTTTATTTTACTAACAAACTCTGTATTCATATTATCGAAAGGTTTAATGGGTGTCATATTATGTAAAAATACAAAGAACTTAACACAGACTTACAAAAGCAACTCCGCTCCCACTCAGCCCTGTGTGGATATCGATCCAGGCTTCAGGCCCTTCCTCTACCAAACCGCAGCAATGCAACAAGCTGCGAAGCACATCCCCATGCTCCTGCTTTGCGTTGGCCCCCCGTGTAAACAAAAGGGCCCCCTCTTGAACCAGACAGGGAAGGTTTGGCATCAGTCGGATGACGATCGAATTTTCCGGGAGAAGCTTGTAACGAAAGGAAACAAGCAAAGCAAAAGACAAAAAGGTGTAAGATATTTGACATCATGGTAGATCAACCCATTGATGTGGAAATCTTTAACAGCAGCTATAGCCCTCACCTCCTCCAACACAGATAGGGTCACTCCTGCAGCAACAGACACAACAATGTGTTTCTTGGTAACGTACTGAGAGATTTCTGAGAGAACGAGTCGAACGAGATGAGGTTTGACTGCGACAAACACCACATCTGACCCACAGACTACCTCTGCGTTCGAGTGAGTTACAGAGATGCCAACTTCCTGAAATCATTGTAAAAGCACATCAGCAGTAGGAGATATAAAATACTCTGAACAGAATCCAGGGCAGGTGAAATAACCGATTGTTGATTTGATAAAAAAAAAAAGAGGGTTTTCTCTCTTCATAATTGCAGAGCTTGTTACAAATGGCTTGTAGAGAAAGTCAGACAACTAAACTTAGAAACAACAACATGTTCTCATCTGTTACCGCTAATTTTCCACAGGTAGCAGCTAGAAAAATAAGAGAAGCAGGATTAAACAATGGTACCTGGAAACGTTTCATATTCCTAGAGGATGGTGCGCTGACTTTGATGTTTACAGGGAGAACGTTTCCTTCAAAGTAACAAAATCACCATGAGGATTTTTTGCTCAATCATTATTATTTCAGCGTTTCAACCAGTCTGCTGACCTGACAGCATGCCCTTTGCGATGCCAAAAGCCATGTTTCCTGCACCAATGAAACCGATCCTCAGTGGTTTGTCTGCATCGGGGTCCATTTTGGTCTGAAAGAAATGCAAAGAAGAAAAATTTGTCTGGAAATGTCACGTTCTTTACTGTACCGATTCTTTCCTCTTTTTTTTTAGATATATTCTTTGAAAGAATATGAATATTGAAAGAAACACATTTTCATCATCTGCCAGCAAAATATTGTTAATTGAGACCATTTTCCCTCAGTTAGAGGATTCATAGTAATAATGCAGCTCATGTTCTTCACTTTACGACAACAAATGCTGCAGGACATATATAAGACATGAAATTGAGATCCCTGTACGCAACAGTTTACAGATCTGTGTGCAACAGAACATGTGATGTTTTTTTGTGGAATGGAAGGTTATAAATAACCTGTCCCTAAAGTGCGACCCTTAATTAGTTCCTCGTGTCCATTTCAGCTCTTGGTTCATATATATATATATATATATATATATGTGTGTGTGTGTGTGTGTGTGTGCGCGTGTGTCAGGGCTGTCAACTCTCACCCNCGTTCTCACGCACCTCGCTCTTCTAGCTGGTCCAAGTTCACAAGTTGTTTTCCGCAATTTCGGTCATAAAACAAAACAAGCCAACCTCCTGCCTGCGGCACTGTCTGCGGTCACCTACAATTTGAGATAGGTGCAGCAGAGTGTCAGCGGAGGGGGCGGGGACATCTTTTTGTTCACAGTGACACCTACGCAGACGACCTGGTTTCGAAGTATAAATCAGCCTTTAAGCTGTATGAATGCAATTGAATGCAATTCACAGAGGAGATCACATACAAGTCGCATATTTGGAAATGTGAACGGCAACACAAAAAAAAAAAAACATATTTCACAAAAAAATCTGAATTTAGCATCAAGGCCTGCAGTGTGAACGTAGGCTTAAAGACCAGTTTGATAAAACACAATTTCATACAAGAAATATATATAATTAGGGGGTCCCTGCTTCATCTCGCCATCAGTTTG